TCATTAAAGCAAACATTTCAAATACAGATTTCAGTAACACAAAATAACCTTTACACAGTATTATTGAAATTATGGTTATGGAAGGGATTTTCAATTCAAGCTTAAACATTGCACTTGAGTAACTTTTGACACTGAACTTTTTCTAGCCTTATCACATTAATTGTGGGGACCACACCAGAGAGCAGTACAGTAACAAAACAGATCACACAAACAAAACAAAGTAAGTGGATGGTATTTAAGTATATATAACACTACCTTTACATCACACAAATCATAAAAAATATAAACAAGGCAAGTAATCACTTACCTTGAATTGTGAAAGTTTTACCCGCATTTGTGGCACCATAAGCAAAAAGGAGGCAATTTGCACCATGGAGAAAATTAGTCAAAGGTGTATTACATGTTTCATTGAAAATTTCCTCCTGTTGGCACTCGGCACCAAATATTTTGGTAAATTTGTATCTACAATTCAAAATACACAAATTTACTTTAAGTTCAGTTCTCAATTCATATACCAAGAAAATTAAACAACACTTACTGTTGGAAAACTCCTTTTCGAGACTTCTGGGCCTCATTCAAAATTGGTGTTAAAGTAGTATCATCAAGAGCCACAAAGGTGTTACTCTGCATGGATGTTTCAGATTCACAATTACAAAAATTAAATAAGAACAACCAAATGTTACTCAACAGAAATTCAAATAATTTAAGAAATGGACATATACATATTTAGAAATTATTAATTAATTTAACATATCATAACACAGCAAAATGTAGAGTACTTCACTGTAATTAATTAGTAACAATGTAGGAATGTGTTTTTTGGTGAAATACGCCAATATTCTCTTCAGAACAAAAATTTAATAGAAAAGAATAAATTCAGCAGTTTTCTAAATACTGCAACAGCAAATTCAATACCTCAAAGGCATATTGATATTTTAAAGGATGAAGGTTCACTCTGAGTACTTAAAAAGGCCGATTATAGAACTTAATTCTTTACAACATTGTCAATAAATGCTGAAACATTTTCATGTACTATTATAAGTAGAAAAAATAAGATGTGTATACAGGTTATACATAATGAAGAAAAACTAATATTCCAAAAAGCAGCAACTCAGAGAGAGAGAAAAAAAAAACGCTGCTTTGCAAGGAGAGCATAACTAAAACTGAATTTGACAATTAAAGAACTTTACATGCATAATATATTTCTGTTCTCATTTTTTGCCCACCCATATTTATAGACTGAATTATTTAGAAATTTAAAAATAAAAATATAAAGATGAGATTGAAGAGCAGGCCTTACATTCGGAGCCTCGTTACTTTGTAAGAGAAATTTCATTACTATTAGATTATTATTATTATTGTGGATGTTATGACTGTAATAAAATAAAAAGTAATTGCATGTATTTTGGAATGCAATAATATACTTATATAACAAAGTAAAAACTGTACAAATATTGATATTGTAAAATGTTTATAAATACATTTATATAAACATAGTAAAATGTTTATAAAAAATAACAAAATGTATATTGTTGAATGGGGATTGTTTCTTCTAACAATTATATTTATATTGTTGGTTGTAAGACTAGAGAGGAATGGTAATAATTTTATAAATACCATTACTAAAAAGATAAATTATGTTCAATTAATGCAATGTACACAAACGTCTGGTACCACCATTACATATTAGTATACGACTTTTCACAAGCAATTAATGATATCGTAATAACAATTGCAATTGCAACAAAGTAGATTACACAAAGCCAAAACAGTTTCACTAATGGAGTCCCAGGGTCTGTGGGACTCTTACAGTTGCCTACAAATATATAATTTTGAAGCAACACACCGGGGCACTAATCATAACATGAGCAAACATTAGACAGGTTAGTCAAAACACTGAAGTGAATTTACATGGGTCACAGTTGTGTAGAACTCATTGCAACAAAATTCTTAATCAAATGAAATTTTGAAGGATCCCTATGACCCTAGTGTTCCAGTTAAGGGTTAATAATTTCGTGTTTGCACAAGATTACCAAGTGACAAGGCCACAAACTCTTTAAATTACCAAGAAGCATAATTTTAAAACAAATGCTGCTTCTACTAAAGACATGAGAAGTACTCTTAAGCATAAAGTATGAATGTACCAATACAAACACCAGCTTAATCCATTCCCCTGAGGTAGTACTCCTTCATTTAAATGCCTATATCTCTTTTTTCCAAATAACAACACTCACCTTTCCACTTTTGGGCTTCATCCGTAAGTACACATTTCTCCTATCTTTTTCCGTTCCAATTTCAGACATTTTGAATGGGTGAACACGAGGTCGTTTGGGTAGGCTTTTATTAGGCGTTGCAGAATGTAAATACGATGGTTTTTCTCTTCCTTTCATGATGATCTTTTACTTCACTTCAAGAACAGGGTACTCAAACACTTGATTGTAAAAAACACAAGAACTCAGATTAACAACCCACGAATTACGTCCAAACAAAATACATTGCCCAGATGCAATTGCGCAAGCTGGACACTACACAATCAGACGATCACGGGAGATGCATGAAACGTACAAGCAGACACTGGTTAGGAAGGCCAACGGACAATTACACGCTGAGGCTTGCGGAGCAACTTCAAATTCGATGTTCCTGCCCGTTATGTCACTAACCAATTACAGGAGAGTACACCACACTACAGTATCGCAAGCTGATTGGTTACTTCGCTTAGCTACCATTGGTTAGTTGAAGGGGAATATTTCTATCGATAGTTCGATTGTGGAGAAAACGATATTCACACGATATCTGGTTTCGCGGATGAAATAAAAGTAGAAATAAAACCAAAAAAATGTAAAACTAAATTGTATAAAAAATTCTCTGTAAGAATGTTAAGGAGGTATGCCACTAGAAGCGTGTGCACTATTTATTTTCCCAAATTCTAGGACATCGTAATATTTTTTTACGCTATTCAGCCGACTATTCCATCGATCGTTAAAAGGAATGTTACACATTTGCATACGTCCTTAACACATTTATGCACGCGAACACTCATTCTTTCTGAGCATGGTTTCTCCTCGCGTTTTCTTGATGCACACTAAACCAGATCAATAAGCAGCGGAGCCCACTAGGAGGGGGTTAAGAAAAGGAAATTGCTGCAGGTGCCGACCTAAATATTTTGGTCGCGAATATCTGGAAGAGATTTTTTAGTTGGGATAGTTTCGCTTCAGAGTCATCTCTCGTGTATGCCCATTATTATGTATTGAAAACTGCTACACTCGCAAAAACGTAGATTGTGAAAAATATGCTAGAATAAATTTTAGAAGCATACATTGAGTTTAGACATCGACAACTTCGTTCTCTACACAATATACTGAAAATGAGAGATTTGTTTGTTCAAATATGAATAATATAATTAATATTGTATTATATTGTTTTTACTTTTTCGCCCTTACGTACGTAAGAAGAGAAACAATTCTAATCGTGAATTTTTTAAACATATTTTCAGTTTCAAATATTGGAGCACACTTCGATTGTCTGTTATATCTGTTCAAACATTCAGTATCCTTCTAATTATAGACAATCACTTTTTTTGGTAATTAATTTGTAGGTCAGACTAAAAGAAGAGTAGGTATTAGAATTAAATAACATAATTGCAATAAAAGGGAAATTGTGGAAAGGTTCAATACGAATCCAAACATAGATTACATGTCACACAAATTTGAGACGCCACTATACTAGACAGAACAGCAATACCATGCTCGTTTAATTTCGGGAACGCTGCATATAAGTTGAACAATACTGTTAATTCGGTGTTAGAAAATAATATTTTCTCTACAGTGTATCATCATGTACTGAGTAAGATTAAATAATGATTCTTCACTATACAAAATTAATTGTGGCTCCCCTGTTGCAGTTCTCATGGAACACACACACCCTCCTTTTTTGTCATATGATGTCTGCCGGTATTTTAACATTTATTATAGTTAATGTTTACTTCCTTCTCTCCTTTGCAAACTAGTTATTTTATTCAGGACTTGGTTCTCTCTTATCTCCCACCCTCCAACCCCACGCCTTTTTCCCCCTTTCTCATTGGTTTCTGCAGATTAAATCAGTACTTTGTCAGGCACTCTCACTCCGTTCAGCTATGACGACCAGTAATGGTCAATTTCGACAAAGATGGCCTTTAATATAAATAATAGAATTTTATTAGTTTTATGATATGATATTTAACAATAATTTTACCAAGGTAAGCTTTAACACTTAATTGTGCTTGTGTTGTATGTTAATGTAAGATTTTTGCAACTGTGTTTTCATAATCTCTTCCAGATACAATCCCGGAAAAGCGACCAAATATTGGACGGCGAAACGTAACAGTTTTTAAAAGTTTTGTCAAGAATATATGTGTTATTCTTCATTAAGTTAGTGTTTCGTCTATATATTCTTAAACAACCCCCCTCCCCAGTTATCTATGTTCTTTATTTGGTTTTCAAAATTAAAATACCCTAAAAATTCCATACAATATTAATTACTAAAAAAGTGATTGTCTATGATTAGAAGAATACTGAATGTTTGAACATATTTCCAGTTTATTTTTACTTTCCCGTATACGTACGTAAATACGGAGTAGTATACGTAGTATATGGAAAGTTATGTAATGCTGCGGAAAATCGATTTCGAGATTTCAACGGAAATACACGTTTTCTGGTCCCCTGAAACCGAAAAGGTGTTTCGTTTCAAACGTCCGTTTCTCCGTGTGTCTGTTCGTCTGTGAACGACACTAGAAACTAAACCGTGCGTAGTGATTTTTTTCAAAATTGAAGAAACCCGTGTCCGTCTGGCTCAAGTCGAAGCTTTGAGATTCTGAAAAACATTCTTTAAAATTTGGGGGTACCTTCCATGAAGCCCTCCGGAATTATCAACATTTTCTAAAAAGGGTCCAATTTTTTTCTTTAAATTTCGAGTAAGAATAGAGTAACATACACTTATAAATGTCACATAGATATGATTTTCATGGTGTACTCTGGATTTTCGAAAATTTCAAAAGTATGATTTTTTTAGGTGCGACAAAATTAAAGATATGCGTGATCTTGGCTGTCCGGGTGACGCCGCGTCGAAGGCTGTGTTGCCGACGTTTCGTTCATCTTGTGGTGGTCTTCCTCAGGGCTGGTATCACACCTGGTATCATCAGATCACGCACATGATTCTTGCCGCGGAAGCCTATGACTTCAAAATTAAAGATATATATTTTTCCTTCAAAATAAGTTTGTCTATAATTAGTCGTTTTATTAAGATCAGGTACATTTTTTGAAAATGTTATTAGTTTTCGCGCAATATTGCATGGAATATTTACAATTTTAAACAAGTACAAAAACAAACTTTTTTCAAAAACGGCACGAAATTATTTCTTTAACCGTTTGGAACGTATTGTGCTAAGTACACTATAAAATGACGTCAACCATTCTTTTGTTTTTCAAAAATTACAAAAAAGTCATTTTTTATTGTCTCTCAAGTTGTTAATATTCACATTATCGACAATGTTTTCTCATTTTCTCAAAAATGGCTCCAAATTTTTTTTTCAAACTTTTTGAGCGGACAGTGCTAATTGCACTTTTTAATATGTCGTAAATTACATTTGGTGTATTTTGTTCTGAAATTATACAAATGTATTTTTTTAAAGATCTGTCACGCCGTTAATATGCAAATTTTCAGGAATTCTTAAACACTATTGTATTTGTGAGTTAAATTGCTTCAAATGACGTCAAATGAAAGTTTTCGAAAACACAAAAATGTTCTGTGAAATATTGCTATAAATTTCGAATTTTCAGTAGCGCTTAAACACCATTTTCTTAAAAAATATTCTAAATTTTTCAACGGTTAAATCCATTTAGAACAATTTTTTACCTTTCTTTAATACCCTTAAAAATATTTCCGTTATACTATTGATTAGCCGAAAAATAAGGAACATTTTTTTAAAAGGTACTTTGGGCAGCGATAGAGGGTCGCTGGCAAGAGTATGTGTCCAGTCCGAATAGCTAGCCGAGTTCAAAGGAAATAGAAAACAAATACCGGAAAGTCTGTGCCATTCTGCAGCGCCATTAGTTACTTTCCCGTATAGGTAGTATTCTGCTTTGAAGAACTTTATTTTCGGCCCGGGGGGTGTAAGCTCTGAGGATGATCGCTACGCGATCGAAACGACTTTTAGAAAATTGTTGTTTGGTACCAGACAACACCTTTAATTTACCATATTTAATTATTAGAAGGTATCTACCTCATCGGCGAACTAATTAAGAATTTCCCGTATTAATTTTGTATTTCCTTTGGTCCCGGTTAGCTATACGAACTTGCCATATCTTGCCAGATGAAATCTATCGCCACGTTGTGGTCGATGAATATTGAAAACAATGGCCTGTTTAGATCTCAAGAGAGTCATTTAAATATAAGATAAAATATTTTTATTTATTTGGTATTACAAACATTCTATTTTTATATTTGTGCAATTCAGTGTAACTAGCGCGCTGTTGCTCGTGGTTTCTAAATCATCAACAGTCTATGACATAAGTTCGTCTCGTCGACATGCCCTAAAATACCAAAAATTACAATAAACTATTAGGTAGTCATTTGCTTCGGGTGAAACATTTCTAATATGTTATTACGATACAATTTTGACACTTTTGTAACTTGCGTCTGAAGCAACAATCGAATCGATTTTAAATGGAAGATGGCGTTGCACTCCTACGCATTAAAGAAAAGGTGTTTCTTATTTATATTATGTTTTCTAATAAGAAGATGGTATTACGAAAAGTATTGAATAACACACAGCCAAAATCACAAATAACAGATTTGGCTGGTTATATTATCTGCTATCGCCTCGATTAACAAACGTAAAACGCGTCTGTTATTTGGTGTTTATCGGCCTAATGACGTTAATAACTATAACCCGATTGTTATTAAGAATAAGTTTTTAAATTGTTGTCACAATATAATTCTATTTACTAGTTCTTTAGTCCCTTATTTTAAATTATGGACAACCATAATGAAAAGTGCCAAAAATATTTTCACATAATTTTATTCACTTCTGTTACGACTTTGCGGATACTGTTTTGTCTCCCTCATTAAATTGAAAATTGAATAATAAAAATTTTCACGAAGCCAACATTATTTACACAAAATTACAGAAATAACAAATGAATTTAAATTGTACCCAATTCAAAGAAATCTCATCTGTTATAACAGAAAAGTAAAACTAATATATACAAAAACTATATCCAATATTTATAAATTATAGAGAAATATATCTGAATATTAAAATAAGTGGTGGAGTGCTGTCCAGTCACTTTATAGTTGAACATTTAAATTGAGTCGTTGTTAGTGGAGTAATAACATAAGAGTAGATATATACTAGAGTGCGCAGAAGGCCCGGGAGGGTCTCAACATCTCTCGCGCCCGAGTCACGTGACTTTGGGACAACTAGCAGGTATCTGCTATACACCAGTCTCAAACTAAATGATTTATTTTAATAAGTATCTAACATGTTTCACTCTAGCGTTATTTATTACACAGCCCTAAGAATGTTGCTTATAGCAGAAAAGTTACTTTATGTTATTCTGCTCTATTTAATTAAGCACATGAATATTCCGATTTTTGTCCAACTTATCACTCTCAATGACGTACCCTACTGCACCTGTTTAGCAAATAATATTACATA